CCTGGAACCAGCAGCAAAGGTCCAAATCATTCACACCCACAGAGGAAAGAGCATTTGACTGCATCTCCCAGCCCCCTACCCCCATGCACACCTGCAAGGGGCCTTGTGGTAAAAGAGAAGGCCTATATCCCGCTGGAAATCCACACAGGGGGAAACAGGGGTGCCCACGGGGCTTCTGGATGTAGAAATCAATCTGCCAGCATGCCCTGCCCCCTCCACCCGGCCGAGTCTTGTCTCTTCTCATGGAGAATTGCTAGTTAACAGAGTTTCTTAAAGCATGCATTTGATTTATGCCACAGTTAGTCGGCAGTAAGTTTATTGTTGTTGTGTTTTGTGCACATTTTTAAAAAATTTCTAACGGCTGAATTCAATTTCCATTTGATTTTGAATCAAACACTTGGAATTGGGGCGGGGGGAGTGGAAAGGATAGTTTTGGCCTGGTTGTGGGTTGACGTGCCTGGGTCTTTGGTCTCAACCTTTGAATCCTCAGGAAATATTGGCAAAAATCTTTTTTTGAGGGGCTGGGAATATGGTTCAATTGTTAGAGTGCTTGCCTTGCATGCACAAGGCCCTGGGTTCAATCCCCAGCACCACAATAGATAAATAAATAAGTAAATCTTTTTTGAGACTTGCTCAAAGTCTCAGTTTCGCCATCTGTAAAATTGGACCTGGACCTGGAGATCCTTGGCTGCGGTCCTTTAGGCTCTATTTGTTTGTGATCTGTGAAGGGGCCACCATAGGGAGGAGGAAGTCAGCAAAGAAGCGAGCTTTTGTCTTCTCTGTAGAAGCGAGTCCCTTTGTAAAATAACGCCCTGCCAGACTGCCTAATGGATTTCTGCAAGGCTGGGGTCTTAGTTTTCCCCACGCAGGAGCAACGAAAGAGAGGGGGACGTCCAAACCCGGCGAGTGCCGCCTGGCTGTTATTTGCAAAGCGGTGTTCACCAAAACGTGCCAAAAGCCGTGTGCGCGGGCGCACTCTCCTCCTCTGCCCAGGGCAGCTGTTCGCATTTTGTTTCCGCCTCCTCTCAACCTAGTCCCTTGTATCCCTTTAACGCCTGCAGCCGACTGCATCCCTGCTGCCCTCAGTGTAGGATGGGCACTTCTCTTCAGCCTGCAAATGAGAAGTGACATTTGCACTCGGCTCAGCCAACGCGTGAGCAGAGCGGCCGGACACAGGCCCATTGACCGAGAGCGGTCTAGGGGCCGGCCGGCTAGGCGGCATCAGAAGCTGCCTTAATTAATACCATCTTAAATAGTCCAGCAGCCACCGAAGACAAAGTTGAAGAAAGACTTTAAGGCTGAGTGCCCCTCGACAAGCTCTTTTTCCCGTGTCATTCAATATTTAATGCGCCCGCTTGTAATTCTACTACTGGTGTTCCTTTCTCAGCGAGGACATTATTTTTTCACGGTGCCCATAGCCAGGGAAAGCCCTTTAGGCAAAGAAAATCAAAATGTTTGTTGTTTTGGATGACTTATAACTCTTGTTTAACACAAGTACTTTCAGGAAAGTATAACAGGCGCAGCCTCCAAAGCAAACAACACAATCCTTGTGACAGAGTCGGACACAAAAAGCACATTGTCTTGCGGACTACCCTTTCTCTGGTGCTAGATGGGGGCCTGTCTCCAGTGAACACCACGATGCCATTTCACTTTTGAACTATTGTTTTTGAGTTATGCCATGTGGTCAAAAGGAGCGAGAAGGGGGTTGTTTCCAGGCTCCTAAGACAAACGAGTTGCCTTTTCAATGAAATCCCCCTCGATCCTTGAAAACCGAGTTTAAATGTCACTTCGCCTTTCTAATGGGCACAGGGCTGGAGGCGACCCTTCAAAGAGTCTCGGTGATAAACGACCCTTATTAAATATGGCCCAGACTGCTGGGAAAGTCCGAGCTCGGCCTGGGTGCTCAAGAGCGCCCCTCGCTGGAGGGCCCTGGAGGAGCCCGAGCTTCCCCGCCACCGCCGAGGCCACAGCCCCAGGCTCGGGCTCGGGTGAGAGAGAGGGAGCTGGGGTGGGGAGCGCGGGTGAGGGGGGCCAGTTGTAATACAACTTCTTATCTGCCGCCCCCAACACGCCCGTGCGCCCCATCCCCAACGACTCGGCGTGAAAGGTTGGTGCGTTTCCCCCCTGACTTCTTTTTGTCCGTGGCCGAGTGGCGTCTGCAAGTCTGAGCTGCAAAGTTACTGATTTGCAGGCTGCATGTTAAGGCAGCCCATGTAAGTAATTTCTCCGGGCACCCCAGCAAAGGAGAACAAATCGCTGACAAAGGCGAGCGCTTTCGATTCAGCGGCGTCGTTAAGGCAACCCCAAAGTATTCCTCCTATAATAAGTTCCACTTCAAAGGGTTTCTCATTCAGCGGTGACTGCCTCGCACTTTTATTAAGTCCGGGCTTTTTCACTCGGAGGAATCATCTGTTTGGTTATTTTTCATCATGTTTATTTTTCACCATTCACACAGTACTTGTATTAAATAAACAAAGAACAATCGCTCTGCAAATAAAAGTACTTAGGTGGGGAGAGAAGGAAGAGGAACTGGGGCTCTGGTGCCCCTGCCCCTCTCCCCCCACCCTCTGACATCACCCGCCCCCCACCCCCACTCGGTTTTCTCTCCTCTCTCCATTCTTTCCCTCTCCTTTCTCCCAAGCTAGGAGGTTCTAGGAGGGATTCCACCAAAGAGCGAATAGATATAAGTATGTGTATGTGCGTGTGTATGTATTTCTGATGAGATGAAAATTGACTGGACTAACTTGGCATGAAAGTAAAGGTCACTGCAACTGTATCTTAATAGAGTGTCTCGAATCGCCGTGGACCGACTGCCAGCGACTCCCCTGGCCCTGCCCATTGCCATAGCAATCCCGATGCTCTGCGCCCATGGACCATAAAAGCAGTAGTTTGAATTTCAAAGAACATGCCTTTGAGCTTCTCCCCGCCTGATTAGGCACTTGCTGTTGTATGCGAATGTGTGCTCGGGAGTGTTTGTGCGTGGCCGTGGATGTGGGCATTTCTGAGAGTTTTGTTCACGGAGGGAATGTGCTGGTAACAACGGGGAGCTTTCGCTGTGAATCTCCTTCACCGTCCTTCCCGACCTGGAAGGCTTCCATGGTCATGTGTCAGGTGTTTTGGTACACGAAGGGTGGATGGGCAAGCCCGTAGTACTGCCATGGGGTGACAGGACGGAAGTATTAATAAGCGGGATTGTTTTGTTTACCTTGTGATCTGCCTTCCTTTCTTTCCTGATGTAAGGTGATCCTTTGGGAAATCAGATTGTCTCTCAGGCAGTTGTACTTCCTAACCAAACTGGGATTTTCAAGTATTGATGTCCAGTATCTCTCCTACTTCAAGTATAGATAGAGATGATAGAAAAAAAACACAGTGATCTCCAAAAGCTTCCACAAAATGAAAGGTATCAGGACAAATATGATGTCTGTAGACAGCTGGGCTCAGCTTTTGAGGAGTGTGGGCCTCTTTTCCTCCAGTCCCCAATGTGACCACACTTGTATGGCCATCTCCTACTGCTCAAGAGTATAGAATTTCCACCCTTGAGGTCTTCCTAAGTACCTTAGATTTTAGGAGCACTAGCTTTCTGCAAGAACATCTGAATGGGGGAAAATATGTACACAAGCAACAAATAATCATGTGATTGAAGATTCTTCTAACCAGCAAAACAAAGGTATATGATTTAAACAGTGTTTGCGGGAGCCACATCTTGCCTAGGGAAGATGAAGTCTTTGATGATAGCCAACTTAGTGTCAATAAGTGGCTTTCTTTGAGACATATTCAGATGGGAACGTCTTGCTTGCCAATTGCCATAGAAATCTTAACACACCATGAAGATTGTCCAAGCGCCAAGCCTTCCGTTCTGGACTAAATTACTTTGAAGTGGCGCAGGACGAGCAGTGGTCAATTTTAACTCTATAGACTGGACAGAGAACGCTGGGAGTGGGAGATTGTGCGTTTTAAAGCAGAAAATAAGAAGGGGAAACTTGTTTTATACACTCTATACAAGGTTCTGCTCATTGTCAGATATCTTTTATCTTTTATATTTCCCATGAATGATTCATGTCTTGGTGGCTTTGTGTCACCCTTCTTTTCACAAGAAACTTCATTAGAGAGCTATAAGTTTTCCCATTGATAGGAGCCCTCATTTACCAGTGTTTTTCTCCTTCGTGTGCTGGTTATTGTCATCTGGCTTAAACAGCTCTTGGCAACCTGTTTCACCTTTACTACATTTAACAAACCTGACTTTTAAAAGCCACTATAACCTTTTGGAGAAATGCTTATTGACATTACTGATTGTTTTTAACTACTTGCCTTTTATCAGTTTTGTATCAGCTAGCATAATAACAAAACTCCAGGCTTGTTAAGGTACATAGGCAAATACATTAATTTAAGCTACTTGAATATTTTGTTGCCATGAGAAAATCCCATTTCTCCTTAACACCTGCCCCCAATGCTGAGCGTAAGTTACTCCAATTCCAAAATGAATGACAATAAAGTCCTATTTTGAGGCCCCCATGACCTATGAGAGAACTCCTTAGCCACTACTCAGATTCATCCCACATCCATAGCATCTCCTAGACCATCTTACTTTATCTTCCTTTGTGTGTGGAAGCTTCTCACTGTCCTTCCCTCTTTTTCTTCATTAGGTTTTCCCCTTTAGAAGGTAGGCACCAAAGAAATGCTAAAATGCACTTTTCAGCTTTTCACTGAGTTGAATCACGGTGTATATTACTAACTTTAACAAATTAATGCAGTAACCCCTGAGGTGTGTGTGCTACTGTAGGTACAACCTGCAGGGATTAGTTTCCATAAATATCTGGTATTTTCTAGATTAAACTGTAAGTTAAACCAAGCTGTAAAAACATATTTGGGGGTGAGGGAGGCTAAGAGATCAAAGGAGGAAAACTATAATGTTCACTATCTCAGCAACTGTTCTGTTTGAAAAGAATGACAGAGATATGCCATTAGGTAAAATGTAGCAATACATAGGAAGAATACCTTTATTACATTTCTTACTTCATAGTCATTCTTGCTTTCTTTCTATTGGAGGTACACATTTTAAGCTTTTTTTTAGGTGTATCAGGAACCAATAAATCTGTGGCAGAGTTAACCTATGCATGACAAAATACATAAAATACATATTCCTTTGTTTCATAATAAATAAACCTGTAGCATAATAAAGAATAGTGCAAACTACCATTGAAAAAGTTGTATAAATAAAACAACTCATTATACATCAGGAATATTTTGTCCTAATAATTTTACAATACATAAATTATCCCCCCAAAATTCATACCTTATTTTTCTATTTGAAAGGACTTTGAAAGTGATTAATATGAAAATCAAATAAACTTTTAAAATGTAGAATTATTTTATATTCAAGTTTTATGGTCTTTTTCTTTATAAAGGAGGGTCTGCATGATTCATAATTACTGTAACAATCTGAGGACAACATTGAAAGGCTTTCCAAGTGACAGCACCATGCACTGTACTAGTAATATATCTATAAACTATATATAATCTCATCAACACAATGCAAAAAAGACATGCAGGAAGAGTCTTGGTTTTCACATTACGTTGTTCATTCAAGTAAGCTCAAAAATATATTTTTCCATTTCCTTTCCTTTTTTTAAATAAACCATGAATCATAAATGATAATCTTTCACCAAAATGTATAATATAATTCTTTGGTGTGCTTTGAACTCTTCCGGGGAGTGGGAGGGAAGGGGGGAAACAATGTCTGAAAATAAATTAATTCAACTGTACAAATAAAAGTGTTCACATACAAGTTATTAACAATGACAAGACTACATCAACCACTCACAGCACACAAATTTCTACAAACCCTGGGGAGGGGGTGTCTTCAGGGTCTCTGAGGATAAATTAGTGCTCTTTAGTATATTTGTATGATGTTTCTGATGGACTACATTTTGCACAGGAGATGTGTTGTACCAACCGAAAATAAATTGACTAAGAGTTATTGTCCTAGGTCCTTGACCTTTTTTATCCTAGCTTGACAGCTCTGGCAAAGGTCACACATTCATCAATGTTTGGTGGTAACTATAAACCTTTTAAAAATTTTAATATGTATAGCAACTCCCTCCCCTCTTTCAATGTAAGTCATGTATTTCACATTATCATTTTCAAGAAGAGAGTTTGGGTGCTCAGTACTCAGGTGGAAGAAAATGCACTCAACTGCATTTAGGCAGTAAAAAATAGAGACTTTTTTTTTTTTAAAGGTTGACACAATAGTATAAAAGAGGAGTTGGCCCATTTCAAAAACAGCTTTCAATAAAAAAAAAAAAAGGGCATCACACCTCCTCAGACTTGACTGTCAATGTTGGCATCCCAAAGAATTTATGCTCAAAAACAATCTCTTTATTACACAAGAAGTTTGGACACAGTAAGAAGGCAGCATCTGAGATTTCAGATTTTAAAAAAACAAAACAAAACAAAAACAAAACAAAACAAAACAAAACAAAAAAACTCCAGAGAGGAAAAAGAAAGCACTTGAATTTCTTCTATTTTATAAAAGATCACAGTTTCACAGTTGTCTCTTTTGCAGCAGCTTTTCTTCTCTCCACTTTTGCTTGAACAATCACAGTAGCACAATACATGGAGATAGATTAAGGTTGCTGCACTTTTTTTTTTTTAATCACACAAGGAAGGGTTCTGAAGAAATAATCCTGTATAAAAATATCATGTTAAGATGAGATCAGTAATAAAAGCATGAAAATTAAAAATTATAAATATTAGAACTTAAAGGGCTTTTACAAATACTTTTGGACACAGGCACAGTCCAAGATCTGTTGGCGATGCAGCAAGTGTGTGGTTTACAATCAAGAGGCCTTTGCAGAATTGGGGCTTGACAAGGAGGCTCAAAAGCAGCCTGCGTTACGGTGTCAAAGGCATTCAAGAGGCACTCCGGGAAACGCAGAGGGCCTGGTTGCTGTGTGAAGTTCTGACTTAATGCTCATCTTCTCCCCCCTTTAAATATATACACACACATGCATATATGTGTGTGATATATATACACATGTATGCACACACATATATATGTATCGGCAGTGTGTTTCTCGGTTAATGTCTCCATTCATTTTCCTTGGTACAATTCGCCCTCAGCCCTGTCTCCCTGCAATGTACAAGTCCAGCTTGGTTGTTTTTTGTTTGCTTTTTTGAGAGAAAAAAAAAAAAAAAAAGCCCAAATATCTTAATTAAATTAATTAAATGTACAAACACCATAGGGTTTCATACTGAATAAATAGGGCTAATTAGACCAGTAGCAAGTCTGAGTCACACGTTTGTCTCAGGCTCGGCATTGTCTCAGGTTAGGATATGGTCCAAGGACTCCCACTTATTAATAATGATAAATTCTAATGTATCGTCCGCACAACTTCAGGGTTCCCATACATTTCCTCATCTTCAGACTCAGAGGTGGTTCCGTTGCTGGAAGGTGTGTGGAGGTGGCTGGGGGCCCCACTGGCCTGGCAAACGTACCACTCATTGAGGTTGGTCACCTGAGGGGACAGAGTGCTAGAGCGACTCCTGGCTGGGTCCAGCACAGGGGACAAGGGGGCACCCACCGGAGTCCCCACTGATGAGTAACCAAGGGCTCCTGGAGAAGGTGGGGGGGACTTGCAGTGAATCTTCATGTGCTTCCTCAGAGAACTCGGGTGAGTGTAGGATTTGTCACAGCCTCGGATCTTGCAGTAGTAGGGCTTGTCACTGGTATGGACATGGGAATGTTTCTTTCGATCACTGCTATTGGCAAACTTCCTATCACAACCATCGAATTCACATTTGAAAGGCTTTTCCCCTGCAAGGAAACACAGGAAAGGTTAACAATGGCTTTCCAGAGACTAGCTTGAAAGAAATCTTGGAGCAGAACTGGGGATGGAGTTTCCCATTCTCCTAAAGACTGACACCCAGCCTTATTTCTATTCCTAATTCCTATATTCCAAGATGCACAGGAGAAGAGATGCTGCAAGGACTGCCCTGGGCCCACTTGCCTGGAGGTTCTGCTTGGATCTGGATTTTGAGAGGCCAGATGCCAGCCCCCTAGATACTACAGGGGTCAGGGTGAAATCCCCATGGTTGAAGCAAGGCCCAGGATGTACCACTGAAGCCCACCTGGGCCCTCATAACAACCTCATTCATCTCAGGGTCGGGACACTCAAATATACAAGTAGAAAATCCTATATCAAGATAAACACTGATAAAAAGATACTCCCAGAGTCACGGGTGGAGGTGAGAACAAGAAAAATGGAAGAAAGATAAAACATATAACATTAAATTAAAAGTAAGCTGGGGATGCAATAAAATGATGATAATGGCACTTTGTTCCAGAGTGTTCCCAGAATTTCATTGCTGGGAAGGAGCAGCAGGAGAGGATGTGGAGTTAGGAAAGGAAAGGAAATAATCCAACATTCTCCCTTTAGAAATAAAGGCACCTGTGAAACACAACCCCACCACCAGCTTTTGCAAGGCTGGTTGGACAGAGAATAAGCTGCTGGTCTCCGCATTCTGCCAGCTTCCCCCACAACTTGCAGGGTGCTGGACAGTGTGGCAGAACCGAATCTGATCACATGTGGGCAAAGACCACAGCCTCGGCACACAATCCATCATTTACCTTAGGCCTTTAGTACACTTATTCTAACAGCTTTCTCCATTACTTATTCATTAAAACCACTTAAAAAAAAATCAGGGTCTTTGGCCTGTTACCCCTAAGCCGGTCTGACCACACCAGGCACACTATGACTTAAACACAAGGCCACTAGTCCAAAAAGTAGAGATGCTTAATAACACAACCAGAAAAATTTAACCATTGCTCCTGGGGATTGAAAAACAAAAGGGAAGACTTCACACTGACAGCATAGCTGGGCTCTCTCTCTCACCTTAGTATCTATGAACTTATATTTTGAATCCATAATTGAACAAGTCATCACATATTCTTTTATAATATTTTCCTCTGACATTCAGATGATCTAAAAAGATCACCAGCTACTTTGGTGACATACTAGGTAGGGCATCTTTCTTTGTTTTGGATAACTTATTTTTAAAAAGAAAAACCATTAAGAATCGGTTTAATGCACATACATTTCTGTGGTGAATCTTATTCCCTCCACACAAATATGTGTTTGTTGTTTTAAAAAATATTTCACTAATGGCCACTGCTTCAATGCCAGAATATGTTAACACATCTAAAAATATCCAGAAGACTGAAATATAACTTTCCCTACCTATCGTTGTTTAAAAATGAAATTAGACATTATTGGAATACAACTCTTAACCTATAAATAGCAGGAAAACAGAGAACTCACAAAAAATCACAACCTTTAAAAATTCTTTGGAGATGAGTCACAGCAAAAACAAAGCTAATTCCTTTCTACCAAAACATCAGTGACTTGTCCTGATTTTTGTATTACATTTTAAGTTGGAGATAATACTAATTTAAAATAGCAGTCTTCTTTTTTTTTTTTACAAAACAAACAAAATAAGATAATCAACCTTCTTCAATAGGGAGGCTTATGTGGTTTTATTCATTCTATGCACATGTCAATGTTGTTTAGAATTCTTAGGTTTCTGCCCAACTTACATAACCCGGATTGTGAAAAGTAAAGCTTTGAACATTGCTAGTCCCTCCACTGCTCACAAGAGAGAGAAGCAGTAAAAGTCAGTAAAGGGAGAGAGGAAGTGGAAAGAAAGTTGGAAATAGGGATAAAGGAAAGGTGGAGGGACAAAGCAGAAGAAAAAGGAAATGTATTAGAAGGGCCTGGTGTTGTTCAGGGGGCCCACAGGAGCTCTGAGTAAATTCCCCCTAAACAGAAACACTGAGAGACCTCAGTGTTTACATTCCAGATTCTGACAGAGGAGTCACATCAGAATTTAACTATTTACAGAGTTTTGGAGATTTGGTGCCTGCGGGAAGGTAACGGAAAGGAAATCAAGTTGTGGATATCACTCAGGGCTTGCCAGCTTCCTCTAGGGTTGTAAACCCAATTGAGGGCAAACAGGTCAGGACAGAAGACTTCAGGAGTGACCTGGGGATTAGTCCGTTTGACCAATCTGTTCTGGGGTCCTGATAACCCCCCAAAAGGAGAGAAGTCTATACTAGGGAGAGAAAGAAGTCCACAACTGCCCCTCTCTGGACACAATGTCCAATGGCTGAGGACACAAGGACAGCCAAAACACCAGGCCAGGGGCGGGTTTGAGTTGGACTGGGAGTCGCCAGCATCCCAGGTTGGGGTGTGTGTGGAATCCCTGCATGCTTTTCCTGGTGGGGTTCACGCTAGCAGCAGGAGTTGGGAGCAGGAAATTCTATCATTCTCGCAACTTGGAACCAGAAAACCAGCCACCGGTCCCCTGCCCCCCACCCCCACTCTCTCACGGAGCAAAATCTGTCCAGTGCTGTGGGGTCCCGGCAGAGGGGCAGGGAAGGAAGGTCCACTCCCCTCCAGAGGCCAGGGAAGGAGAGGGGCGGAGGCCACATGCGCCTCATTTAGGGCCTCCTTTTGGGAACTCGGTTAGGGCGGGGACTTCAGTCCCAGTGCTGGGCACCGAGCAAGCAGATGGCTTAGTGGGCCATGGCAGTTTTTATAAAAGCCTCGTGGGAAGTTTCCTTTTGGAAAAGCCATTAAGGTGGATTGATCTGGATTAGAAAAACACAAGGCTCAAGGGACAACGTGCTCCCAGCCGGTCTTCTGCAGGTCCACATGGGAGGCCTGTGAGGTGTCAGTCCATAGGAACAAGGCCTGGAGGGCCAGCCTGGGGCCACCCGGACGCGGCTGCTCCTGGACATATAGAATAAGTCATACACACCCCTAACACCCGCGGACTGCCGCTGGCCGGGTCGCGGCCCACGCCCCCGGGCTGCCTCCTCACCGCCACCACCGCACCGATAAATCAGCCAAGTGATCACTGAATGTAAACTCCAGTTACTTAAGTGTCCTCTGAGGGGTAATATTGTCTGTCCCTATAAATCCCGGCTATGCTCAGCAGCTCTACCGCCCGAGGAACTCCTTGGTTCAAAGAGGGCACACGACCCTAAGGGGCTAAACCGTAGCCCCATGCTGCAGCCACCCTCACCGGGCCACGGCAGCCCCAAAGGCAGAGCTTGGAGTGGGATGGGAGGGTCCCCACGGCGCTGGGGACTCCGCACCCCCATGTTCCAAGGCGGGTTAGGCCTCAGCGACCACGAGAGGTCTCATCTTCCTCCAACTAGAACCTTCCTTAAAAGGACAAAAACCAATTCTCCAGCATCCAGCACACTCGAGGGTGCGTGGGAAGTCTATGTGTGTGATCGCACAGCGCGTGTGTGACTGCGGGTGTGTAAATGAAGTGAGGGCGCATATGAAGTATGAGGGCGTGTGGGTGTCGCAGAAATGGGGTGGAGGAGGCCGGCAGGAGTGTGTGTGAACTGGTCTCGGACCATGTACGTGGAGGTGTTAGGAGTGGGGTGTGTGAGTGGGGTGTGACTGAGCGGAGGTCTCCGGGGCCGGAGGGCGGGCTCCTCTTGACATCTGCACCCATCCCGGGAGGCACTAGACCCCCGCCCTCCGACGGGCCACAACTCGCGGCCCCAACACCGTAGCAAATCCCACGCGCCCTTCCCACCACCCGTCCCCCCCGCTTTCCGTGGTGCAGCTACCGCGCAGGGTCTGCGACCTGTAGGAAGGGAGGCACTGCAGGGGCGACTCCGGCCCTGGCCCTGATTCCCCGTGGCCCTCCCCGACCTCCCGGGGCCGGGCGGATGGGGGCTGCCGACCGTCCTGGGCGCCTTCCTGCTCCTGCTGCTGCTGCTTCTGCTCCGGGGAGGCGGCGGCGGCGGCGGCTGGAGCGCGTTGCCGGTCCCGGCCGAGGGGCTGAGGGCGCGCTGGAGACTCCGCCGTGTGGGAAGCCTGCGCGGGGCCTGTGTGTGCTATCGAATTACTTATTCATAGAAAAAAGGGGGAGAGAAAAAAAAGAAGTCACATGTCCGGGTTATACGTATGCGAAGAGAAGCAGCAGAAGGAGGGAAAAATTAAGGCGAGCAGGAGCAGGAGGAGAAGCAGCGGCGGAAGCGGCGGCGGCGCAGGAGGAGGCGGCGGCGGCGCGGCCGGGGACAGACACCCACCTGTATGAGTGCGCTTGTGGATCTTGAGGTTTTCAGAGCGTGCAAAGACCTTGCCGCAGCCCGGGAAGGGGCAGGGGAAGGGCTTCTCGCCAGTGTGCACGCGGATGTGGTTGATGAGCTTGTATTTGGCCTTGAAGGGCTTGCCTTCGCGTGGACAGTCCTCCCAGAAGCAGACGTGGCTGCTTTGCTCCGGGCCGCCCACGTGCTCCACCGTGACGTGGTTCACCAGCTCGTGCATGGTGCCGAAAGTTTTGGAGCAGGGCTTGGCGCCGCCGGCCGGGGGCGGTGGCGGTGGCGGCCCGGCCAGCTCGTCGGGGTCGATCCACTTGCAGATGAGCTCCTGCTTGATTGGCTGCCGCATGTAGCGCAGGAAGGCCCCGGCTGCCCCTGGGAGGTGGGGGTGGTGCTGGTGCGGGTGCTGCGCGGGCGCCGGCGGCGGCGGCGGCGCCGGAGGCGGCGCGTGGTGCTGCAGGTGGGGCCCAGGCCCCGCTGCCGCTGCGGCCGCCGCTGCAGCCAGGTTCAGGTTTAAGTTCACGGCTCCATAGCCGTGCAGGGCGGCGGCCGCAGCGGCAGCCACCGCCCCGTAGTGCGCGTCCCCAGAGCGTGGAGCGAAGGGCGGCTCTGCTCGGCCATACAGCTCAGCAGCCGCGGCTGCTGCCGCCGCCGCCAGCCCCAGACGCATTTGGCCGTTGAGCGGGTGCGGGTGACCGCCGGGAGCCCCTGGAGTGTCGTGCAGCGCGGGGAAGAGCGCCGGGCCACCGCCGCTGTCCGGGCCCGCGTAGGTGCCGCTGGCAGAGATGAACATGCTGGCCGAGTGGGGAGGCGGGGCCGGGTGCTGGGGGGAGCTGGTGCCGGACCTCTGCTCCCCTCCGAGCGGGGCCCCGTGCATGGCCGCCGCGGGGGCCGTGGCGGAAAGGTCCCTCCGGAGGACGAAGTCCCTGCTGTGGCCTTTGCCGCTGCTGCCGCCGCCGCCACTGTTGGTGGTGGTGTAGCCCGAGAGGGCAGAAGGAGGAGGCGGGGGAGGGGAAGGAGGAGGGGGTGAAGGGGAGGGAGGAAGAGGAGGGGCTGGGGGCGGGGGCGCGGAGGACTGCGCGCCACTGCTGCCCCCGCCGCCGGGGTAGGTGCCGGAGCCTGGTTGCGCGACTACGGCCACAGTGCGGGCAGCAGCCGCTGGAGCCTCGGACTGCGCCGGGAGCACCTGGGAAGGAGGGCTGAGGCTCTGAGCGCTCGCCTGGGCCATGTGCTCGGGTCCAAGCGCAGTGACGGCCACGCCGGGGTCAGTACCCAGGTCCCGCGGGTGGAGGTGCGCGGTAGCAGCGCGGAGTTGGGAGTGGGCGGGCGGGCTGGCCAGCGCCGGGAAGCCTGTCATATTCTGAGGCGGCTGGGCATGAGCCGTTGCCAAATCCGCTAATCTCAGCTCTGGCGGGTTCCTCTTGCTCAAAGGGGGCTCCATCAGAACTACACAATCAGGCTCATAGACCCTCACTGGGGGGACCTTTTTCCCTCTGCCCGCCTTCAAAAACATGTATATATTAGGCGCTCTTTAACTTCTTTTGTCCTGGCCTCCTAACTCTGCTTATTCCTGTTCCCACTCTGTCCTCCAGCGATTGGCAGAGTGAGCACCACATTTGAGCTGCACAGTGGGACTGAGATTTTGGAAATGGCACGGGTGGGATTGGAGGGAGCCGCGTGATTGGCAGCAGACTCGGCTGCCCGATTGGCTCCCGTTCAGACCCTAGGCCCAGCGGGGAACCGCCCCTGTGCTCGCCACCGCCTGCGCTTTCACTTCGCGCCCCCTCCTCCCCTGGAGCCCTCGGTCCCCGCCTCCCCAGGGATGCCCAAGTTGCACTTGCAGAAAGTTTCTGCTTGGCCTGCGCGCGCAGCGCTCTGCGCTCTGTTGACACGCCTATGGAGAGCGTGCGCACGCAGTCAGAGTACACCGGGTGGCAAGGGACTGGAGACCCCCAAGGGGCAAAGGGCGGGGCGGGAACCCCTAACTTCAAAAACCTACGCCTCACTGCTCGCAGTTTCCCCTTCCAGTACCCACTTTCTACTCCTCCTACTTTGGAAGATGCCTGAGCTGCCCTCTGCAGGAGGGTGAACATCCCGTCTTCATACCTGTAGTGGTGATGCCAGAAACGTTTGGACACCCAATCTGCCCAGCTCTCACGTAGGGAGCAGACAAGAGACCGACCGAGGAAGGTTATTAAAGTCTATTGATTGCAAAACAACTGGAGTGATTTGGCTCCGCAAAACACCAGGTGAAGTCAAAATAAATCTTTTCCCAAAGGAACGGTTTTATTTCTACTTTTTAGCTCATGGAGTCCCTTTCAACATGGTTCAAAGGAGTTGGCTCAAAGTGTAATCTCACTACTCATCGGTTCTAGATCTGCCACTTCCAATTAGATCTACCGGAGGGGCGGGGCGGCATGGATATCCGGCAGCAATGCTAACTTTTGCCTTTCGGAGATACAGTGACAGGGCAGGCCAAACCTCATCTCTCCTGAGCGAAGCAGTGCTAAGCAATGTCCTTTAAGCAGAATTTCTCTTTCTTGTCCAGAACGCACTTAATGTGTGTGCCTCATTTCTTTTAAAGGACCACAAATTCAAATAGATACAATAAAATTTATCTTATTTATTTATAATAAAGTATCATCTCACCTTATCATTTTCAAGTAAACTGAGATGTCTTATTTGAAAACCATAAAAGCTGGACCTCATTGCTGTTCTTAGTGAACACCATCCCTTCCCAGCAGTTTGCTACCAAATCAGTTTTTAAAAAATAACGTGAAGTCCCTATATCACTGGGGGGGTGGGGGGTGGGGGCAGAAAATTCCAAAGTAGGTTATAGTGTACCAAATTGTCACTTCAGATTTTAAAAAGGAAACATTTTTTTTTAAATGTGTTAGTCCAAAATGTTCTAAAACTAATATCAGGATTAAAAATTTGCTTTCCTCCATAAAATTATTTGTTAGAGGTCATAATAAATAAAATGTGTTCCCCCTCCCCTTTGGGGATACAATAAAACATGTTCCTAGCTTAATTCGTTTACAGTTCAAGTAAAAGTAGACCACACAAAGCCATCCTCAGGAAATGGTCCTGGGAAAAAATAAGGAATATTTTTCAAAAGAGTCGATTCCATAGCCCCATTGACATGGGTGTGAACAATGCTAAGTGAGAGCTTCCCCATGAGCCTTGGGAATGTCATTTCTCTTAAAAAACTGACAAGCAAACAAAGACAATAATACTATCAAATTTCAAATGAGCTTTTTTTTTTTTTTAAAAAAAAAAAGCTTCAGTGAAGTTCAAATATAGGGAAATTAAAAAGGCAGGAGTGAAGCACAGAAAATTTTAATAGGCAGGATTGACAAAATCCACATCTGTATTTTAAGAGACCATGTCCTTCCATCTTAAAACATCTGAAACCAATCACAGGAAGGTGGATTGAGAACTGTGCCATCTCTATGGATGGTTTATAAAGAAAGCATCATATTGAGAATTATCACCACTTTCTTTCCTCTCAAAACATTTCAAGTGAATTTCCTTTATGTGAATTTCTTGGCAGTAAATGTCCATATTTGCAGTAATGGCAGCTTTGAGTTCCATCCTGCAGGTTATAAGTAAAAACAAAACAAAACCAAGAAAAGGAATGAATAAAGAAAAAGAAAATAAATACAGCCTCGCCTATAATATGGACTGTTGAGCATTTTTATTGTGCAATAAAATGGGTACCTCCACCCCCCTCAAAATAGCTTTTCGTCAAAATTATAACTGCTTTGTTTTATTGAATTGCTGAAATTTAATGGTTTAATGGGTGGAGGCATGAAGGAAGGGCTGTAAAAATGTGAATGATGCTGCAGCAGAGCCGTGCGGAATCTGGAACCCGCCTCCTTGTACAGCTCTTGTTAAACACAGCGTGATATGTATCTGTCATCGATTTAATATGTCTTAATTCAAATATAGCTCCCTGATCAATTTCTTTTTATGGAAGCCTTAAAAAAGAAAAGAGTTTCTTAGGAAATAACAGAGATTTGGGTAGTGACTGGAAAAAACAGATATTTACAAAGTGAGTTTAATGAATATTTGCAAATTTATGACCAAATCTGGACCCTAAAAAGATAATTGACTCAGGTAAATCGACTTGAGCTGCTAATTCTTAAGAGAAAGGACTGGGAGCAAAATTTCAATCAACACCAATAAGGCGCCAATAAACCTCCTGCCAATTAAACCTGAGAATAGGCCTAGCTAGATGGTCATCAGGAAGGCTTGCAGTGGATTTCCGGGATTGCCTTTCTTTATCAAAAGAGCTTTTTTGTTATTTTGTTAGACGCGCTTTTTTGTTATTGTGATGACCTGCCTGACCCCAGGTGCGCTGTTTCTTTTTCAAGCTATTTGGGAGCCAAGTAAAATCTCTTTAAATTCCTAGTTTCTAAGGGCCCAATAACTGTGTCACTCTTCTTAAATAAACACCAACAACTTCCAGGGCGTTGAAGAAAATAATGTATTAATTTTAAAAGCAGGGGGCTATAGAGGCAGCTATGCCAGTTCTCCTTCCGTGGATTTAGCCCCATATTTCCACGGTGGTGCTGATCCTCAGGGCCAATCCTCAAAACTTATGTCCTTGCAGCAGAGGTGCTTGTGTGGAGGTAGCAATGTGGCAAGTCACTGAAATGCCCTTTGGGGGGCCTTTTAAGGCCGTCGGTTTCCAGACCTTTTGGTTGCACCCCGAACCCCAACCTCCTTCAGGTCCTGAACAAAGGCACCGAGAGTCTGAGGAGGTGAGAGGCACAGTAAATGCCCGGCTGGCGGGAACCTGACCGCCACGCCGCAGCTCAGCTGCCCAGAGAGGCCACTGAACGGGTCTCTGCGGATGCTCACGCGGGCGCTTACGGCTTCCCGCTGCGTGGAGTGAGGAACGCGGCTCCTAGGCTCCCCGGTGCCCTCCGCTCCTCACTGAACACCGCCAAGTTTCCTGCGATGGGTGTGGGTAATAGTAAACTCTAGGGAAGTGAATTGGACATTTCCTGGCTTTTGAGCCTTTGATTGTTTCTGCAGGCTAGGGAAGAGGGACACTTGAGGACTGTGGGGTGAACAAGAAAGGAGCTGGGGGACCCACCAAGCCTCCTTTTATTGCCCCTGCAATTGCTTTATGACTCGCTGATCCCGCGTGGTTTCTGAGAGAACGACCTCGTCGTAGAAGGGCTGGGTCCGGGCGGATTTGGAGAGTCTAGGGGCATTTGGGCCGCGTGGGAGGCGGGTTCAAGGGCGAACGAGACACCTCAAGTTAGTTACTGGAGAAATCGAAGGACCTTTGAAGCCTAGCCCAAGGATGCCCTTGGGTGCTTAGCGGACGGGGTGCCGCCGCGGGTGGGGGATTAGCAAGCAGACCCTGGGAAGGTGGTGATGGTTCACTGGAAACTCCACAAGCCAGGGCCAGATGGGCAAAGGGGACGGCAAAGCTGCATTTTGTAGAGCTTTGTCAGGACTGGAAGTGATGGGAATTTTCGATGCAAGGACATCGCCACCCATCTAGGCAGCAAGGTCCATGGGCCACCTCCCCTGGCCCTATCCGCAGCGGGTAGGGACTAGATCCTCTACCCTCCCACCCTCACCACTAGCGATCTGCCTTGGGTGGGGGGCTGCTGTGAGGGCCTTATTGCTCCTAACTGCCCCTCCCCCCAGCCATTCGCTGCCCTCTGAATGGCTCTAAGAGGATTGCCTCTCTTTTCTGTCCTCCTAAATTCCCGCAGAATCCTCAGGCTCCTATGTGCGGGGCTAAGAGTGTCCAAACATGTGCTTTGTGGTAAAGTTTATGATCCCTGTCACATGTGCATGAACACAATGAAAATAAGGTGGAAGTCACGGCTGTGTGGCCAGTGACTGAGATGTTGAATTCCGTGGGGTTTTGTTTTGTTGTTAATTTCAGTTTTGATGGTCAACAATTAGACCTTCTCATGTCCACTTAACCTTTATGGTTAAAAGCTGCAGAAACATTATCCCTCTACTTCCCCACTACTAAATAAATTGTATAAAACTGACCTTTCCTCAAATGCTTTCATTTGGTTATCAAACTTTAAAAAACTCACAGATAGTGGTTGTTGGAGAAAGATCTTTGACTTTGGCCTACATTTGACCATCAGGTTTGGTAATTTCCTGGGAGACACTCCTGTGTTCTAAAATAAACTCGGAAAGTGAAAACAAGAAAAACAAAACCCTCCCTACATGCTCACAATTCATATAACCACCTAATAATCATACTGGCCCCAGGATTTGCTTCTCCCCCACTTCATCCCTCATCCTTTAGAATGTTTTTGGATGCAAGATTAAAAAAAAAAGAAGAAAGAAAGAAAAAAAAAAGGAGCAAGCAGAGGATATGTAGTTTTTTAAAAATCTCAGAGTTGTGGGGTGGTTACCTCCACTCAACACCCTTTCAGTATCTATGCTTCAATATTTGAAGAAGCTGTTAAG